GACACAACTAAAACAACATCATTTCTATGAGTGATTCTGAAAATGGTGACTCTAATATTTTGTATCAATAAAAAAGACCGATGTCAATATGTGTCGCTTATAAAAAATGAAGCTAATATTTACATCAGTTTGTATAAATGATGTTAAATATTTGCGACACTTATAACAATTGATGTTACATATTTATAACAATTTTTCATAATTGATATTATGTTTGGATCGATTGTGATTAGTTGATACTAAAATTTTAGTTTTCATATGTGACTTTGATTAATTAAAATATTATTAATTTTAAATGATAGTGTTTTAAATACAAACACTTTATATATAGCCCCAAATAATTTACTAATTAAACCAATATGAACACCAAAATTAACTGTGTAGGCTTTAATTTGACTTAAATGCATTTAGGCCAATTCTAGAATAATGAGTTTATTTTATGGAGGAATAATTTTCTTCTTTCATGTTTGGTTTCCGATGTGGGACAAACAAAGTTTATAATAATAAAACTATATATATTAATTATTTAATTGGATATTTGTTAGCATCACTTTTTTAATGATACAAAATTTGCATTGTTTTATTTAACTGATACTACAAATAAGTAATATACACATCACTTAAATAAATGATATAATTTCTTATTTTGTGTCGAGTTTTGTTTTAAGTGATATAATTTAAGATAAATTTGTATCACTTTTATTTAATTGATACCATATACACAAACAATGACATCGATTATATCTCTTATATTAATTGATGCTAAACTACAAAATTTGTATGACTTGTACATAAACAATTCTAAATAGTATCATTTAGTGTTCTGATATATTTTAACTGATGCTATCTACACTTTTTTTTTGTAGTGTGGACAAAGATAAAATTTTGTAGACCAAAATGTATAGGATGTGCCAAAGGATATTAGAGTTTTTTTGTCCTTAAATGAATAGTAAATTGTTGTATATTTGGAAAAAAGTTTTTGATAATGATAGTTTCCAAAAGGAATTTACCAACAAATAGCATTTTTGACTATTGTCCCTTTAAAATACACTGTGTTAGGTTATTATGATAAAACATTTACTAAATAAAGGTTTATGATCGCTGGACAGTATAGTACTGTTGCTAAGAAGAAAACAATAAAACACCAACACACATGATTAATCTTT